ATAACCATGTCATTGGAACCATATTCAAAGATGTGAACAGCATGCCAGCTCTACAAGCTCTCAGACTTGATCATAATGCATTTTCGGAAACACAGTTTGAATGCGCAGGAAAATTACAAGTGTGTGACATTTCGCATAATAAATATGATGCAGTTTATCATTGATAATAAATGACATCGTTAGCTGCAGAATAGAACTCCTTATAAATCAGTTACTCTGATGAAGTTAGATAAGAACTAAACGGAAAAGACTTTATTCATCACTTTTGCTCTAAGTCCAGTATTGTGGCAAGATTTGAAATTAATAATGAGATAAAAAAGATTACAATGCAATCTATTCAATATTTCCAAACTGTTTTCGTACTCAGTAACTTTTTCTACAACGATGTGTGTGGCACTTAGTCACTCCTTATGTCATCAAGAGACTATCCATTGAATCACAAATATTCAAGAAAATCGTTTTTGAGAAATCAGTACAAAGAAACTTAGAATACAAGTGACTCTCTTCGAAACCACTATGGCATCAAATGGTAGCAAATATGATCGACATTAGTTTAAGGATCTTGATGGCGAGTATATGTTGTTATACAGATAAATTCTGCCTGACAATTTGACAGAGAGGTATCGATAGCCTGGTAAACTCATGTCATTTTTGAAGTTCCTTTTGAAGGTGGATGGATGGGTGAGAGTAAAGAGAAGACCTAGACCTTCACTCATCCACTCACCTTCATCTATTGCAAAGAATGGTGAAATATTTCAAGTCGAATTTTTATCTTGATCAATTTTACAATTTATCATCGAAGCACATCAAAAATAACATGAAAGCATACGTTTCGTTCAGGTCTATCATTCTGTCTTCTTCAGAATGACAGAATGTAAAAACGTCAGTAGATCAGTTTCCCATCTACTGCACCCTCATCCTTTCTAGCATCTAATGTTTAGATATGATATGAATTCGAGACCTTCGATATACTTCTGACTTAAAAAAAGAGAAAAATTATTTGATTAGAAATTATCATAAAAACGAAAGGATTCTTGGCTTACAAAAACTACTCGATTTCACGCTCCGTAGGTATTTTTGATCTCTTAAAACTATGTATCAGTCGTCATCAAAAGAATATAAAGCTTCTTCATTAAGTTTGAACTAACATCAAAACCTATATCTGATTAAAACTTTAATCATAATCAATCTAATCATTACTTTTGATCTAATTCTCTATTGCTTTTGAGTATCTTAGTGGAATCGTCGTTGACCATAGTGAGGCATTTCTAAAAGAACTTTTTCTTTCTGGTGAAATTTAGCACAATCGGATATTTAGCAACACTGTGGAGGTTTCAATGTATTTTCCAGTACCTGTGGTTGAGGATGTGCGCCAAGAAAATACCCATATTCACACCCTTTCCATATGAAGTCGACAGGAACCGAAGATCTATGGCGATATCTTCTATTTTACCTGCCAATTGATAGAGAATAATAACCCTTTTATTCATCGAGCAGCAAGGTACAAAAGGTTGTGTGACACATACATCAACTTCTAACAGTGAGTATCCAAGGAAGCTGTAATCCTAAAATTTCAGCATCGCATTATCAAAGAATATGAAATTTTTTGTCACAGCATTGGCAAGTCCCTTCCTTGCTTCGTAAGAGTTGCATCAAACCCATTGTTGACGTGTGTGGATATGGGTGCGGATGAAGGAAAGACACATATGATACACATACTCATCTGTACGTATAGATCAAAAATCATACAAAATCTATGCAATAAATTTAGTATCACCAATCAAGAAAATCGTTTTTATTGATTATCGCTACTCATTTGATGAAAGCATTGTGTTTTTGCTGCTTTATTACGGATAGAATAGTAAATATTTGGATGCTCTGAATGGTAGCCCGAAAACTCACTCCTGCGTACAAAAAGATATATCAATGAGTGTACTAATGCATTTCTTATAATTTAGTATTGTTGCAACATAAGATTCATCCATTTACCTCGAGAAACAGATTCTTCATGACATTTGAACAATCTGAACATATGACCAGAAATATAGACAATATCGTTCATGCTTAATTTCGTCTATCTCTATTTAAAAAAAGTCCTCAAAGCATCCCATGCACACATATTGGAGCATAAAACTGAATAGATCATCAAACATGCGTATTGCTCATCTAGTCATTTTTAGATGGAGGCATCAAAACTTTGTCGATGACATGAATAATGCCGTTGCTAGCCACAATGTCACTCGCAATAACTGTTGCATCATTGACTTTGATTTGATTATTCTGCCTGGTCACTGTGACAAAATCACCAGCTAAGGTCTCTAATCGTGCTGGTAAACTCATAGCTTGTATTTGAGCTGCAGTTAAGGCTCTACCAATGACGGCGTGGTATCCAAGCACCATAGCAAGTTCCTCCCTATTTTTTGGATCCGATAAACGATCAACAATCTCTTGCGGTACTTTATTAAAAGCTTCATCATTTGGAGCGAACAAAGTATATGGACCATCCATCTCATTTTCTTCAGTCACACCAATAGCCTCTAGTCCTAAAGCTAAGATTTTGAATTGGTCATCTTTCTTTACAAGTTGGACAATACTGGGAAGTTGATCTAGACAATAAAATAGAGACTAATCATTGCAGTCATTAAAATTCATATTTTCGGAAAATTATGCAAGACGATTGGCATTACCTGCTGAAATAGTTGCAAAATGCAATAGAGTCACGATGACGACAGCCAATATTGTTATTAAGTGCATTGCTCTTCAATTGAATCGAATAGTTGTCAATTCTCGTAATTACAGCTTAGTTTTGTCGCTTATTAGTCGTACCTCAATATATATTCAAGGAGAAAAGAGCATTGGCTTTGTAATGGCATTTAAATACTTTGCTTGACATTAAAATAGACATGGCTTTCAAGGATTAGCATTCAAAGAATAACACACTGAGGACCTATTTTTGAATCGAGATACGAAGTTTTCAGTATAGCTCTGATGAAATTAAAGTGTAAAACACAGTAAAATAGTTTCATTGAAGCAGTTAAAGCCCCCTTACTAGCATGTTTTTGTCATATGCCACGTCAGCCCTCATAGTATTTTGCTCGATATGAATGAGTAAAATGTTACTTAATATTTTTAATCCTTCTTTATTCTTATATGTATCCGATTGCTATGAATCTTTTGTTTCTTGCAGAGATTAGAAAACATGTAAACATGTTCTAAAAACAAGGATCAAAAATATTGAAAGTGAGAAAACCGGAGAAAATAACAGGTTAATATGCATAATAATAATAATCTGTGGCGAAACGTTGCTATCCTTTGAACGGTAAGCAGTATAAAAGTGGAAATAGCTAAAAAGTAACTAAATATTGATTCCAGTATTACAGTCTCAATTACATAAATGTTGCATCAAGGCTTGTTTGGTTCGATTTAACCCGTACATATTGATACAATGATTTTTCGAACTGGCGCGATGGAATTCGCAGAAATCTTTGTCGTTTCAATGAGAATCGAAGTTCTCCTATTACTATGTAGGTCAGCAATATTTTAAGTCTTATATGTCGAAAGAGTCAGGCTGTGAGGATGAATTTCCACTGTGACTCTACATATATCCATACGTTCACACATACCACACTCTCCATTGTTATTAAATGATAATATTATGATACACTATGAAGAAATATTTAAATTTTTTCATTATTATATGTGATCTCACCAATATTGTTCCGAATAAAAAAATTAACTTTCAAGATATTTTTATGTTGATGTTGATTGAAAAGATTTTTGTAACTCAATTGATTTTGTTTCAACAATCATTGATGATACGTGTTCAAAACATTTTGGAATTCATTCTTTACTTTCTGTTACTTGTTATGTGTTACATGAGCTTGATTCATAGTTTCAAATAAAACATAAATAAGATCTCCATTTTTAATGTAAAAATTTTTGTTTTTAATTTGTCATTGTCTCCACTATTTACTGACATCTTTTCAACTCTACTTTCTCCCTGCAAATATATAGATTAAGTTGAGCATATTCAACCTGAAATAAACGATAGTGCCTCTCAGATTAGAGATTTAATTCAACATTTCTTTTAAAAAAATCATCACGAAAAATTATTGCACTCAACTGAATTGAATTCCGAAAAAAGACTTTTCTATAATCAATCAAATACATAATAAAAGCTGTTGAGATTATTGAAAAACGTCAAGAATACTTAAGATCACAAGGAGTATTGGAAAACTTTGTGCACACTCTACAGAATGATTTTCTACCAATAGCTGTTTGTTAAATTTCAATACGGTTGAAAAAATACACGCTAATTCGTATTCCATGTATAGAAATTGATTTTTAGCATGTGTGCAAATGCTGTCAATATTCTTTGCCATCTGTTTCTGGAAAAAGAATCACGTCTTGTGTGAAATTCTAAAAGTATTCAGATTGACCTTTCGTTCACACGAGGTATTATTTAAAAGAAATAAATGACACTGATGTGGAACAAGTAAACCGTTAAGTTTTATCTAGACTCCATGCGGTAGCTCAAGCGACACTTTTTGATGAATAACTTCAAAAATGCAACGTTTTTAAATTCACCTAATCTAGAACAAAACCTAGTTTTTTATCTAATACAAATCAAACTCGCTGCACTGTTTTTCATTATCAGAGTATGCGTAATAAAGCAGTATCAATGATGTATACTGGAAGTTCAAGTGATGATCACAATTTGACATCTATCTATTTTTAAATAGATATTTATCCGACATTAAAATCGACAAGTTTCACACATCTTTGAAAAATATTAGTTACTACAAAGATCA